TCGGAACTTTCTGCTGTCGAAGGAATTTTGTTAAAAGTATGCCAAGTTGTTGTTCAGAAAACAATATGACAAGAAACACTCTGACGTATTCACGAGGACCACCTGGGCTTAAACAAATGCAAGGTCAGAGCACGAAGTCTGTTCTTCTGGCCAGGCCTAAATTTAGACATGAAATATCTGGCAAGAGCCTGAGCTGTTTGCAGAACTTATGCATATAGACAGCCAACGAACCATTTTTTCTTCGTCAAGCTCCAGACAACCAATGATATCGGGTGGGCATAGATTTGTTTTTTTATTATGCCGGAAGTACGTATTTTTGTGTGTTCCTTCCCAGAAGTTCAAATACTCGTGGACACGTTGGCAAAAACCGTAATGGACTAGGTGGGTGTCATATTTTTAACATATGGAATCCCGGTTGAGGTTTGCACGCACAATGGGCGTCAGTTTGCGTCCCGAGAGTTCGCCATGTTGGCCACTAGATACGAATTTAAGCAGATCACGTCTAGCCCCGAGTTTCCCCGTTCCAATAGTCTTGCGTAAAAGGGGGTACATATTGTAAAACGATTGTTAAAGAAGACAGAAGATGGACATGATGATGAGGATTTTGTTTAGGCTCACTTGGCTACCATTTTTCCCCCTTAGAGGATTGCCGTTCACCAAGAGAGCTGCCTCAGGGAAGGCGTCTTCGTACGCGACTCCTGGACTTCAGCCTACAGCCGACTTCTCCTGTGAAAAAGCATCGCCAGCCAAAGGCTGCAGGGTGACGACTACGCCCACTCCAGAAAGGACAAATCGTCCGAGTGAGGAGCAAGGTCTGCTCTCAAATAAATATATACATAAAATAAAAGGCTCAAGTAGCTGGAACAGCTGCCTTAACGTCACACAACGTGGCAACGGAAAGCAGAAGAATTCTTCGGCGAAATCGGCTGCATTTTCTAGCTAAATCAGAAGCTTTCGACCACAAGTGATAAGAAGACAGAGACGTGAGTGAATTCGAAGATGCCGGAAGAAAAATGAATCGGCAGCCAGCGCCTACGCCTCTAAGTTCTCCGGGACAAGCAAGTTCTCCAGGACGAACAAATGCAACGTTGACGGCACTTCGAAAATCTACGCGATCCAGGGTAGCACCCCATCTTTTGAAGTACGACCGCAACTTCGAGCAATTAGTTTAGCAGCGTTCCTACTACTGCTCGTCAGTGTTTTAAGATATTTGTATGTTCTGCTAGCTAAACAAAGGCAGGTGTATCGTACTCTTGTAATGCTATACTATTTTTCGTGCTGCGCCATGTGACCAGTGCTGCCCCTTCGCTGATGTTATATGAGACACACTGATAAACGTTCACACGTTGTTTTGTTCACCATGCCGGACGCGTTAGTCAAACTTTTTTTTTTTATCAACCCAGGGCCGGTTGATACACTTACACACAATATCTTCCTATTGAGTTGTGCTTTGACGTTTATCAAGGGTATTTCAAAACTTTCGTAACACCTTCCCTACCAAACTTTTAATGTGAGTTATCATGAGTTTTATGAATATAACTTTTATTTTGGTGCTAATTACTCCGACAGCTTTCGATATACACGCCAAGTGCTGTATTTTTTAGTTTAAAAGTATCTGTACCGGGATTTTGCGCAGCTATAGCGCACATGAAATGCGCAACAAGGGCAAACAACTGCACAACCATGACTTAAAAAACAGTGTGCTGTTTAAAACAGTTATATATAAACTTTAAAATTTTGTATCTTCTCTCCCAATAAGTACTCCATATAATCTGCTCCAGACAAAAAAAAACAAAAAAAAAAATGGAACCAGCAGAAGGGAGGAGAAAGCGCGATGGTCCTGGTCATGTCAGCTTGCCAAGGATGTCCATCGCCAGAGTTGAAACATTTGTCCGTTGCAGCAACTCATGCTTTTAAATAATATTAATTGTGACAAGCATGTTTATTTGCTTTTCTGGTAGCGCAGCCTTTTCAATACGTCTAGAAAACACCTGGTTGGCATGATTAGTGGATAGACGCAAAGCCTTTGTCCCTACTCACTCGTCGATCGGATGCTTTCGCGTTTGAATCTGTTTGAACAGTGAGTAGCCCGCGTCCCTGCGCTCTCTCATCTCCTCCTCTTTCTCCGTTTATACCAGTATAGTCGGTGGCAGGCTAAGAATTCAGTAGAAGCTCCGCCTCCAGCCCGAGATCGTTACCTTCCGCATGGCTTTCGCTCCGCGTTCGCCAAGTGCTATCTCAGGCAGAACGCTCGTGCTGGAGGCGGAACGTCTACTAAACACCGACTATAAAAAAAAAAAAAAAAGTGTTTAATGCAGCTAAAGTTATTGAATTTTGGGAAAGTAGCGTCAAGCTCCCCGTATGGTCGCCAGTTTGGCTCATGGAATGAGCAGCTTCTCCCTGACCTCTCCATTTTTGGGGAGCCACTTCAAATTACCAATGCTGCTTCATTAAGACATTTCTTGAATACCGAAATTTTATTATCCTTCTTCTGGCGAAACAAGCGGACATTTTGGCGCTTGGCGGCATTGAAAAATATTTTTTCTGTCTCGAAATACGCAGGAAAAACAAACCCTTGTAAGAGATCGGTGAAGACAAGCGTAATCGGTACGTGCATTGCGTGCACAGTACCAGCGACGCTTTTTGCGGCGAGGATTGCATTCAGCACGATGATGCTTCATAGTGATATTGGCGCGACTGGTTCAGAATTACCATTTCGAAGCTTTAAAGATATGAATGGACCAAAATGGTGATTGCCATGGCAACTAACGCTGATCAGCCAATCACCTTACGAGGTTTGGTCATCTGTATGTTGTTAGTATCTGTTTGCGTCCGGCTAGCAAGCAGGGAAGGCAGTGACTCTACTTTCCTAGAATCCAGTGACTCAAATTGCCACCACAGGGGATGTAAAAAAAAAAAAATTGCGACAGCCTTGAAAATAAAACAAAAACGCAAGAGATGTTGTCAAACACCTTGAGGCAGAAAGGCGTGCATGACAGTCGTGGGCTGCTGTGATAATAAAAAAAAAGGCGAGCTAACTTTTTTTTTTCGGACCTCCAGAATACATAAGAAACAGTGAAGGACATTTCTGACTTGAGTAGGTACATAAGTTATGCTGTGAGGCTTTACGTGTAATAATGTTTTGATTCTACAGTATACTTGATGCTAATGCGACGAGCGTTAGTCTTGGATAAGTACAGGAAAAAGCTGCCTTCGCGTGAATTTTTTTTATTATTATCGTTATCGTGAACGTTGAGAAAAAAACTTCCTTAGCCATTCTTTATGCAGTGGTTACTGCCTGAAATTATGGGCACAGATTGTCTGAGCCAGCTGGTGTATGCCATTACAAAGCGAGATGAAGAGAGGGAAAGAGAGAAAAATAAAACGCCAAAGGAAATGCTTTTGGGGCGTTTTGCAGAGCTCTTATTTTGAAACATCTATAGGAGATGTCTAAAAATTAACACCGGCAAAAAGAGACACACAAAATAGAAAGAAAGAAAAAAAGGAAAGAAAGAGGGAAAGTAAGAAAGAAAGAAAGAAAGGAACAAAGTTAGAAAGAAAGGAAGAAAGCAAGACAGAAATGTTACACTTGGGCTGCAGGTTTTTTTTTTTATGGCGTTAAAGGGGTACTCCGGCAATTTCTTCATGCTCCCCGATTTGCTTGAAATTTTGCTAAACTCGCCAAACAACATTGCCAAAATATTATCCCAAATATTAGGTCAAAATAATTTTTTTCACTAAGTTATTGAATTTACAATTTTGGCCCGAAACGTGTTTTTCAAACTGAAAGCAACGAAAGAGTGACCATTTTTTAGACCACCTGAGACTGGGTGGAAGAAACACGGCGACGTCTCAAACACAGCTAACCACTTTATTCAGTTCTCCCTCCTTTTATACATCCTGATCCCAAAATCGTCACCATAAAAAAAACTCCAAACAAAGGCACAGAGCGACGTCAGTGGAAGTGCCGGGGTTCACTCTTCGGACTGTAGAATTTGTTCTCAACTGATTCGAAGCACTTTCATGGTGTCAAATGAATGCTTTGGAAGCTTGCTCCAGTCCCCGCGCTCCAGCACGGAACGAATGATTGGCATATTCTATTTTTTAGACTGCTCGCTCGACTGGCAAGCTTGTCTTCCACTGACGTCACGGCACTGAAAAGTGCGGGTTTATTTTAATGTTGGTTTTTGCATCATTTCCATTTGCCGATTTTGTAATAAATATTATGAATTTCGCGATACTAAATAGCATACCGGAAAGGGTAAAGGCCGGGAAGTCAGAAAATATAGTTAGTTGAGGTGGCTCAAAAAATCGCCGGAGTACCCCTTTAAGGGTCATCTGTAAATTTTTTCAACATTTGCTAATTCATGATATAGACGTTAGATAGGTGGCCTTGTCTTTAGCTGCCAGGAAAGTGAAGGCTACTAAACAGAAGTGTTTGCTATTGCGTGTATCTTCTGCTAAATCGACGAAAACCACACGGACATCCGGTGTCTCCCTTTGTTGACCAACTTTGCAAAATGACCTTTCACGAAGGTGCGGCACTAACTCAATGACCTGAAATAGCAACACGTTTAGATAAGCAATAAAACCAGGAAGAACCGGGCTCGGTCAAATTGGTTAAATTGAAAATAAAAAAAAAAAAAAGGCTCGCGTTCAGCGCATTATTGTTTTGCTCTTTTTTTACCGCGTCTCTCGCACTTTCGGTCAGTCGTTTCCGTCGCGAAATGGCTCCTGGTTTCCTCTTGGCAGATCAAACACTGATAGGCATCATTAGACGTTGTCCGCCTCGAAGAATTCATGGGAGAAGGTACAAGGTGACACGGCTGGCTTCGTGTAAGCAATTTCCTTGTCAAGAGAACACCAAACGATCACAAATCAGCTATCGGATGTCGTCATATAGACAAAACGAGTAAACGAACTCTTGTCCCAAAAAAAAGAAGAAGACCGCCTTCGTTGACCTCGGAGGGCTTATTTAAACCCATAGACTCCAGCGCCTGGCAGCAGTTTTGGTCCCACCGAGAAACATGAAGGTCGCTTGCTGCTTAGTTCTCGTCGCCCTCTTGGCTCAGACGTGGGCCAACGAAACTCTGTGCGGTGAGTTCCCAGCAAAATCTAAGTCCTTGGGCTGTAGATGCCGCTTCATACATGTAATGTACGAAAGCTATCGCAGCTACACTTTTATTCTCTAACCTCTTTTTGACACTCATATACGTTTACCTTCATTGTTTTGCAATCTCTTGTCGGGCACCCTTCATGGCTCCAGGAATGCTCAAGTTATATGATTTAGCCCGCGTTAAAGATTGGCGTGGCTTTCGTTGATGTCAATATATGAACGGGTGTCGTACCAGCGTGAATTCGTGTAATTACTACCCCGTGGTTTACGTTAACTATTTCAAGAAAGTGCGTTATAGCCATATTGTTTTCCTGGAGCTGAGTAATAAAGGCCAACCACTTGACGGCGGACTGTAGTCAGTCACAGAACCCACAAGATACTTCGCCCCCAGCACGCGCTTGTTGCCTCACTCCAGGTTTTGGCTGCGCGTGCGACAATGTGTTATAAAAAGAAAAACAAAAACCTTGCTTTGGAAGTGGATCATCTATGTTGACCTGCCTCCGACTGCATCTTCCTCTTGGCTAGATAGCCCTAGGACCAATTGACCTCCGACGTTTAATGGTCTGTTCATTGCTGGATCTTGCCAGCCTCGTTGCACGCATGTGCAAATAGGTTTCCCAATCCGCGCTGTGGAGCCTATATTTTCTCCTGCAACGAAATTAAGATGAGCGAGAGAGGTTCCACCCACAAAAAGCGAAGTCCACCCACCCAGAAGAGGGCTGGTGTGCCAGCGGTTCTTTTCTGGTGAAATGCTACACAGTGGTAGATGCTAAGCACCATCACACTGACATTTACATAAAATATGTGCCATCTTTTAGGAAATTGTATGCTCGGTCATTGAAGCGTATGTTTTTCGGTGCGTTTTTTTTTTCTTTTTTTGTGCAATTTTTTGTTGAGTAGAGCCTTATTGCTCGGTCAGATCTTATGTTGCAGTGGTGCGCTGAACAATAGTAGCGGTAAGAGTAAGAGTAACATTTATTTGTCAGCGTGATGCCGCAATGACCCAGAAAGGTGGGTAACTCGTACCAGGAAGCGTGAGCCACCACTCCAAAGTAGCGACATTGCCTTCACTATAAAAAAGCCGGTGCGTCTACCTTCTCGCACAACACTCGGAGAGCCAATCACCGAAACCTACGGAGGCAGCTCAGCGAATGACGACGCCGAAACATATGTCTAGACTCTAGAGTCTAGACCAAAAAACGCAATCCGAGTTCTGCCATTAAGTGATGCATGCGTGGCATTTTGCATTGCTTAATTCCACAACTCAGATTGCGTTTTTTGGTTTAGACTCTAGACATAGGTTTCGGCATCGTCATTCGCTGAGCTGCCTCCGTAAGTTGCGCTGATTGACTCTCCAAGTGTTGTGCGCGAAAGTAGACGCACTGGCTTTTTTTTAGAGTGTTCCCTGCCAGGGCTAGCCGGACAGCAACATATACTAACGTATACGGACAACCAAACCTCGCAAGGTGCGTTGACTGATCGGCCTTAGTTGCTATGACAATCGCTATTTAAATCCACTCAAATTTGAGAAGCTTCGAAAGGATCGTCCTGAACCAGTCACGCCAAGATCGCAGTTGAGCATCCTCGTGCTGAAAGCGTTCCTCGCCATCATAAGCGTTTTTGGCACTGTGCACGCAACCAACTTATGAATCATGCAATCATGCTTATTTCCCCAGATCTCTTACCATGACATTGTTGTTCTTGCGTATTTAAAGATAAATATGTTTTTCAATGCTGCCAAGCAGCAACGCCGCATGAGGTGGCGATGCGAAGATAAGCACTTGTTTCGCCGGTATGTAAATAACTAAATCTCGGTATTAAAAAAAAAAAAAAAGACAATTCATAACGCAACTTGTCAACCGGAATTCGGATGGACTCACCAAGAATGGAGAGGTCAGGGAGTAGCTTCTCATTCCACGAACAAAAATGGCGACCATGCGAGGAGCTTGGCAACCATTTTCCCAGGATCCAGTGATATTAAGTGCTCCAAATAAACATGTTAATGCGATGAGTCCTAGCACGAATATGTTAAGCACGGCTCTCGGGGTCATGCATTTTGAAGGCCTTTTCGTTTCTAAAGCGGTGAATGCGAGCTACGGCACTTATAATGAGACAGCTGAATTTGGAACAAGCAAGCGTACAGCAGGCACTAAAAATGGCTAGCCCAAACGAAAGATTGCCTGGCCGGCGAGAGGTCAACACGTGGCGCTGCAGTCATGCTAACACAGCGGAATGAAGATTGCCTGGCGTGGTAGCATATTTCTAACAGAGCGGAAGGTCGACAGATATAAAGCGTTCCCAAAGCCCGCTTTCAGGACGCCGCTTCTCTGCCTCAGGCATTCGCCGGGCACACTGGACTGTGCTCGCTATTGCTGGAGTTGAGAGCAGCGATATCATACTTTTATTCACTGGTTTCCCGTCAGTGCATATTTTTAAGACATTGAACTGGTAATGCTGATCAATACTGTTACCAATGTACAATAAAAATAGGAAAAGATAACTGTTCGCGGAATCACTCTTGAGAAAAGTGGGAACGGCCCGACCAGTCTCGATCTTGGAGCATCCGCGTGAACGCAGCACCGCGTGTAACGATTTCACAGTTCCGGCGGTCGGCCAGTTGGGCTGATCGTTTTTAGTGACGACTACAAAAACAATTCTGGTTCTTAGATTTATTTTGGTCTTAATATTAGGTCAAATCACGAGTGAAACATAAAAGAACAGAACGCGAGGAGCGTAGAAGGTGACCTTTGACTAGCCTTTTCAGCGCTTTTGAGTGGAGCTGGAGTCTGTCAAATAAAATTTCGCCTTGGGTATGTCGGTGTGGTTGGAAACGGTCAGTTCTCCTCTTTCAGCGATGTCCGATGAACTCAGAGAGGCCACACTCAAGTGCGTCGCAGAACACAGGACCCCTGAGGTAAGACGATGCTTGGTTTTAAAAGCAAGCTCTTTTTCAACGAGCGAAAGTACGCAGGAGGGCTGGTTTGAAAACTTCGTGGGTCCAATGCCGCGCGCCAAGTTTCTCCTTAAACACGTTGCGGTTCACCACGGATCTCGTGGTGACTCGCGTTTAAATTTGTTTGCACACTGTCTTTTGTAGGATGTATAAGCAGTGTGACCCCGGCTTAAAACCTGCACTGACTAAATTTTTCATCTACAGCTCAATCCAGTTTCATCCAATTACAGTGTAACCATACCATGGCAGAACAACCTCATGCTGGCCGAACATCTACTATTCAGCAGAAAAAGTGGAAGCCCCAAGCATCTTATTATTCTTCCAAACCCACCGGGGATTCAATATCAGTAAAAAAAAAAAAAATAAGAGAGAGAGAAAAAAAAGTAGAAGCGCGAAATCCGAAGCAAAAGGTGCGAACATAATAAGCCACTGCCTGTGTTTTTGAAACTGAAAGTGACTATAACATCTAATGTAATGTGCTCTGTACCGATTGGGAATTTCACATGGATCGCTCGCTGACACATACACACAAAATTAGTCACCTAATCGGTACATTTGAAACTTTCATGAAATCATAAAAAGTTCGAGAAATTAAAACTATAACATCTCACACTTTGGAAATCCAGCTGCCGAAATTTGCGACGGAGGAAGAGTACGCTTCAACGAGGCGATCTTTTTGTTCTTTTTGGTTTGTATGTCACGCATGCTAAATGCCATGGGGCAAAAGAAAAGCAGACAGCAGAAACAAATGTATACACTGTTATCTGACGTCAAGTTGCCAGACACCGAGTAACTCTTAGGCTCCAGCGCTGTGCTTTTCTGATTCCTCGTGCCCCTTACTGTTAGCGGTAATAAGTTGGAAAATCAGATGCAGCTCCAGTAATAAAAAGTTATCTCCGGCAAAAAGCTAGCAGTACTTCTAGCAGAGTATTTCGACAAGTTTATTTATATTTCTTGAGTACAAGTTGTCAGTGATGAACTGATTTTTTGAGAAACTAGAAGAAAAGAATTGACAAGACAATAATATATTTTTACAGACAAGATTGACATTAAGTCGAAATAAATTATACTTTATTGATTTTTTTTTTCACATTTCTAATAAATCACGATGTATGCAGGCGCCCGACTTTAATTTCAACTGGTCATTAGCTTGCGTTAGAGTCTGTTAGCAGCGTAAAAAAAGAAAAAAAAAAGTTTATTTACGTTCGCCTCATGCAGCAATATTTTTATTTGCACACCGTGTCATGCTCAGCTAAACACGTTACACTACGCAGAAGTGGCTCTAAAGCATATAGGCACGCTTAGCTATATCGGAGCAAAGTAAGAAAATATTGTCCTACGTACAACTGTCTTTACTTTAATTTTTGGAGGTCCGTTATACCTCTATCAAGTTTGTCCACCGCCTGTCATAGACATGCAAGTTATTTTTGAGGCCACGTTCTCAGTGATGTAACACAGGTTCCGGCCGAAGGTTGACGCAGCACTTGTGTCAAATCAGCGGCCTGTGTTAACCTCCTTATGTGACTTAGAAAATTGAGCACTACGCTCTTTCTATCTAAGAGGTGTCGATGTTGACAGAGCAGGTTTATGGAAAAGTAAACAAGAGAAAGAAAGAGAGAGCTATCATAGTGCACTTCATCACGTTCATTTCACACAACTCAAGAGGTCTTGACAGGCAACATGTTGCTTTCCCTTGTTCTGGGGCTTTTTGCAGATCGCAACATGCGTGTCACCCATGCATGTTGCGATCTGCAAAAAAAGCCACAGTTTGTTCGATTTGAAACAAGCGAAAACAGCCTGTACCGTAGAAGGACGTTTTTCTTGAGAGAATGATTATGCACTAGGACAGCTGTGCTTTTGCACCTCTGCCTCTAAAGGCACAACGATTACCTTGGGCGACTGAGTGGATGAGAGCATTCAAACGCACTCTTGCCTTGTAGATGAAGGAGAAGTGGGACAGAGTGAAGCAACCTTATGGGAGCACTGACCTGGAAGCTTCAAAGAAGCTGTGCCAGTTGAGGAAAGAGGTAAGTGAAGCTCTGAACTGCTAGAGAGTTTAAGTAGACCGTACGCTGCGGAATGCGGGCCTAGAGGGTACGTGCTCAATCAATACTTCAATGCGACGGCACTAACTACCGGTAGCAAAGCGAAACTCTAATGTATAGTCTACTAAAAGTCCCTAATATTTATGAGGGCTTAGTTCCTTACGCTAATGCATAAATCAAGTCTTGCGCCCAACCCAACGTATTTTACAGCGGCAGCTGTTATTACCCTTTTCCGACGAAATCCGGCGGCGTCCGTTCGCAAACACTCGCGAGATCGAGGGGCGCGCGCCGCCCCATCGCCACCGCGCTAACGTTATCTCCCTATCGCCGTCGCCCTCCGAACAAACACATCATCTATGGCAAGACGCGCTATTGCTTCCCTACACCACCCCTTCTGCTCCGAAATAGCAGCCGCCGGAAGAGTAGACGGAGCGCCGCAGCGGAACAAGAACAGAAATGGGCGCAGGGGCCCACTATCACGCACGAAAGGCAGCGCGCAAATGCCTTTCACATCTTCTAAAGAACATATATAACTATTCAACTGAAATCAAAGCTCTATCCTAAATCAAATCTTATAAAGCACGCTTTTCAACAAAACAACAGCTACCGCTGTCGATCTCAGCGCACTTTGTGTAGTCGTTTCCACTTTTTTTTTTTATAAACCGGATACATTGTTTCATATGGGGAAAATATGTTGCACCATTTCTTTTTTCTTGCAATGGCTACCAATGCTGTAAGGGTTGGAGTAAAGAAGAAGTATGCAGTTAGGATAATTGCACGAAAATAATCGCAATCTGATATATTTTATAAACCTGTTTATATAGTCGAGGAAGGAGTACACCATTTTCCGAATTGCTGGTTAGTGGAGTTTTGATGCGTCGAGCTCGAACTTCACTAACTGCATATCTCGTAATCGAGCAGAAACGAACAACACGAAGATAAACTGAAAGGGGAAGAAAGAGATGAGATGCGGCGACGATAGGGCGCGGGGTTTTCATTGCAAGAGTGGTGTGTAGACGCAAAGGATGGCTGCCTTTGTGTCTGTACTCACTGTCACGCTACAGGCAGAACCAACGGCCTCACCCGCTCCCGAGTCTAGCGTTCCAGCGCCGAACGTCAGAGCCTGTGCGGTCAGAAAATTTTTATTGAAGAAGCCAGAAACGGAATTTCGGCTGATTCTGAATATAAGAGCGAACTGGTTTTCATTTCTTGCCATCGGAAACTTTTCTGACTTTGTCGTGAGTTATCGTTCCATCTCTCTTTAACTACGATTGTAGTTTTTTTTTTGTGAAACCGGATTTTTTGTTTTAAATAACGCTTTTGAAATGCTTAGAAAGCGGAGTAGTTGCTGAGGGAATCTCCAAGAAAACGCGTCTGAAAGTCATCGGTTTTCGTTTCAGGCAAAAGAATCCGGTGCTCCCAAGCTGGAACTTTTCACGGTACGGCGGTACATCTCTCTACTAAAAGAATTTTATGGAACTGAATTTGTTTTCTAAACATGTTGCACCTTCGGGTCTAACTGACAGTAAACTGTTAAAAAATGTCAAAGTGAAAAAAAAGGCATAAGAAATGGTATTTATTTAATCTTGAGAAATCGAAGAGCTTCCACTATTTTTGTTTCACTGTTTCCTTTTACCTGGACAAGCTAATCAACAAAAATCCTACAATTCGGGCACTACAGCTCTCAATAGTGATTTAAACTGGAACAATGTCAAAAGTAAACCTATAGAGACTAAACGTAGAACTACCTTCCTCAATCAAGTGTTTTAAAAAAGACACGCGTCAATGGCGAAAACCTATATACATAAAAAAACTACGCAAGTTTATTTTTGATTAAGTTAGGCACGTTTCACCACCAGATGAATCGTCCACACATGACGTAGCGTGTATAGTTACTATTTCGAGAGTTTGCGTGTTGTATCCGATCGCTTTACTGACGTCACATCAGCTGCCATGGTTTTGGCCTTGCTACTGACAGCGTACCATTTATAGCATACATTTCACACTATAGATTTTGTCTTTCTCCGCAAGAACAAGTAAGAATGTCAACGAGTATGATTTGACGACTTCACTTGCAAGTCATGTATAAAAAAAATTATGTCAAACTCCTCTCTTTTGAAAAGGAAACAAACATTTTGAAATGTGAAATGCTTTAGAATCTTTTTTTTTATGAAATAAGTTTTTCAGCATTTGAAAGATTAGCTGCGCGCCTTTTCTACGAAAGGATCAACACGACATGATTGCATATCGTTGTTTGACGGACGACATGTCGTTCGTTACCCTACCAAGAATATAACCAGCAATCATCTTACGTTTTCCAGGAAGAGGAAAAAGCAGCGTTCAGGAAAGTGCTGGCCGCCTGCACGACTGCCAAGCCTTGATGGCCCTCGCTCACGCTGCCATGCTGGTTGTAAAGACGCAATAAATTGGTTTGGCAGAAATGTTCTGGGGGCTTTCTCGAACAAAATAACTGAAAGTTGTTGCATGTCATTTGTAGCTTCGTTTCTATAAAGTGCCAGTTACGACTGGTGCAAGAAATTACAATTACCATGATACTTAAAATGAAATTGTGATGGGATGTTTAAAGTTGATTCCAACCTACCAAGATGCTCGTATGAGCAAGAAGTTAACAAATCTTTGATAGCGGGGAAAGAAACTCAAGCAGAGAGCAAGAGCAGAACTTTAACCAGGATGAATGCATAATATGTGCTTATTCAGAAAGGGAAGAAGAAATCCAAACGTATTATCAGGATTCAGGAGCAAGCAAAATATACCATATGGGCTCTGCATTTAAAGCTACTTTGTGGCAGCTGATCTTCTTGTTGATGGTAAAGATACGGGGCTTGTTGATTTTCATTCTTTCGTCGGCGTACTCAAGCAATCAGCATCGAAATACCTTGTCTACCCACCGGACCCCAATACTCCAGTGCCGGTGTCAATAAAAAAAAAATATATCACCCCTTCAGAAAGGTTGTTCTGGTGATACCTCCACAACAAATGAATGACCATGTTTGGACGTCGATGGAATACAGCACCTAATCTAGAAATGCGGAGTTCGAACTTATTTTTTTTTTGTGGTTTGCAAGACACGTTGCTGTTAATGCTGAAGCAGTAGCGAAATATTTGTTATTTCTCATCATCAGCTTGGAAGTACCAGTGATCTTCCGACTGAAGTTGAGGTTACGTCAGTCGATAATGAACTGTATCACGAAAGTGCGTAGAAACGATGTTGACTTGAAACTTAGTTGTGTCAAACATTGGACGAACGTTTTCTCGTGATCAGTAGCAGTTTTTTAAACGATATTAGCACAATACCTGAGTTGAACATATTTTTGTTGATGAACTAGAAGCTCACTCACTAGCGGAAGAATTTAAACCGGTGACCATTCTTTAATTCGTAATTACCTCAGTTGAGTTTCCACCATGACAAAAAGCGTGAAATTTGGCAGCAAATCAATGAAGTGATGAGACAAAAATTGTCACATCATCGGCAACTACCCGGGAATCACCTGTAGTCTTTGCTTTCATTCTTTACGTCTCTGTGTTGACTACGGAAAACTAGACAACATCACCAAGAAAGACATTTACACCCACATCATTTAGACAATACGTTGGATAGATCTCTCAGCTAATTTTTTAGAGCGCAGTTCTTAGGCGCCCGTTTCCGGGCTGAGCGGCGTCGCCTTCGGCGTAACCGCGCGCGTTGCTTTATGGGACGTTTTTCAGCTAAGGTTGGCGGGGAAATTTTCCCGCTAAGTCCGACAGGGAAAATTTTCAGCTAAATTTAAAGGGACGTTTTCCCGCTAAATGTAGCGGGGAAATTTTACCTCTAAATTTGGCGGGTTAAGTTTCCCCGCTAAATTTAGCAGGGAAATCGACGTCACGTGACCTCAACACTAATTCAGTTTCCCCGCTAAATTTAGCGGAGAAAATGACGTCACGACTTCGTGTCACGCCATTCATGAACAAATTCAGCGGCAGGAAGAGAGGAGGAGGAAAGAAGGAGGAGGAGGGGCATACCTTCCCCTCCGTACCCTCTTCTCTTCCTCCTCAAGAGCTGCGCTCTAGTTTCGCACTACACTGATTTGCAAACGTCGTTAATTTTTTTTATGAAACTGTCGACCTGCGAGCTGGCTGCTGGCAAGAAAAGGCAGGCTAACGTGACGCCGAAAAGACATCGTTGGCAAAAACTCATGGTAAAAAATCTTCCAACCTCCACTTGGTTTATGTAATGACTCAACTATTTTCCAGCGTTGGATGGAGAGCGTGCTCGGACATCAAGTTTACAATGACTTTAAACCCCTGTCAGATAAGTACGTAAAATGCCTTCAGAACGAACTCCTTTAGAGAATCGGCGAACCAGCTCGCGATCTGTCAAATAATATCGGCCAGCTCTGGTTTCTGAAGGTCGTTAACGTGACTATCTGACATTAATATAAAAGTATCTAAACGGCAGCATTGCGTACTAGGGAGCCTTCATGTGCGCTTTGCTAGGGTGATGCCACCCTTTGTAATACCGCTCGCCGACAAACCAGCAGCCATTTTGTTCCTCGGCGATAATCCGTGGGGCTTATAACCCTCCCGGAAGCAAGCACCTTATCTCAGAAGTTCGGAGCAGCGTTGTGGAACCCACGGAGGGAGGATTAGCATTTTCCCCCTCGGATGGGATTACCGATGGACACAAAGGCCACTTTCCGGGGCACGGGGAAACAATGAGAGAAACAAAATGGCGGTGGGAGAGGGTGTGGAAAAGGGAAACAGGCAGTTGGCATCACTCTATGCGAAGCGCACATGATGGCACTCTATTGCGTACGAACACAGTTTTAAAGAACGCCGTAGAAGAATCACCCGGGTACTAACGCCTCTTGTAAAGCCAATCTGATGAGTGCTTTGTATGCACTCAGGTCACCAATCTTGGGCACGTAGTCAGAAAAGAAGGCGTGGGACCGGATCATGAAACGAAGAACGCCCTTCAGGGTTCCCATCCCTTCAACTCCAAGGCACCTTCGCAGAATCTAGGACTTGTGCCCTCACTTCGAGCGTTTCTACAAACATCGCTATTCACGCTGTTTCCCGCCTCTATAGGTTACTACAAAAGAACAGCTGTGATCTGGCGCTTTTAGCCTATGCGTCTGCATTTGTATGCCTTCCCTTTAACAGCGCTGTGGTTTATGATGAAACAAAGTATAGTTTACGTCCAGGGGCGGATGCAGGCATTTCCTGAGGGGGAGGAGGGGGGGGGGGGGTCAGGTGTTGGTCAGCGTACCATTTGTTTAGGAACCCCCTCCCCCCCTCTCTCGTTTCACACCCTAAATTTTACACATGCAGAATTCAAGAGGGGGGTCAGGACATCCGGACCCCCCCTCTAAATCCGCCCCTGTTTACGTCCCTCCGTATTGTGCTTTGGCGCGAATATAGTGCAAGTAGTACAGTGGCGGAAAGGAACCGTTTGTTCAGACTGTGTTTGTTATTCCTCCCAACAATAAACTCGCAGGTGTTAGTTTAAGTAGAGACCACGATCGGAGTCATTGCGAATTGCCAATATGGGCGTATGAAACGAGCAGGAAAACGGTCAGGGTGGTGTTGTGATAGGCCCCTGCGGAGGCCTCCTTTCTTTTTTTCGCCCCCCGGGCCGGGAGAGGGGTAAGGAGGGGGGAGGGTGTTATACCATCGACAGTCGGCGACCAACCGTGTGAGCCGCTAATGACTGGCAACATCGCCCGGCGCCGTGCTAGCGGCGGCGCACACCTGGGCAAGAGGTTAAGGGGCACCCCGGGATTCTCTTAATAGTCCCTGTTTTGTCTGAAATTTGCCAAACGCACCAGCAAATGTCTCTGAAACATTGGGCCAAGATTTTTTTTTCTAAGTTATTGACAATGTGGATGCTTTGGTTAGTAGGTAATTCGTGCTTGGACGGAACAGCGCGGATATGCAGTCACACTCGCAGGCACACAAGACGGAAACAGACTCGCAGCGCTGACTAAAAACTGTCATATACTTCTTCTTCCTCAAATCGTCAACTTCTCGTTCGCCGTTAATGCGAACATTTTAAATTTTTACACACCAGAAACCAAATAGCCAATAAACATTAATAAATAACTAATAAACAAATAAATAAATAAATAAATAAATGACAACTAAAGAAATAATAATAAAAATGAAATTAAAAATAAATTTAAAAAAATAAAAAATAAAAAAAATAATTTAAAAGAGTTTAAAATTAAATTGAAATAAATTAAAAAAAAATAAAAGTAAAAAAAAAAAAAAAAAATTAAACGAAAAATTTCCCAACCGCACCCGCACCCACGTAACCGTCCGCGTAAACGCGTAAACGTCAACGTAAGACGGGCCGGGGAGGAGGAAGCAGACGGAACGCTGGAGACGAAAGGGGGAAACCTCCTTCTCTCTTTAGCGTTCCATCTGCTTCCTCCTAGCTGGCCCGTCTTACCCTCGCTCTTCGTTTTTAGGTTGCAACGGACTATAGTTTATGTAAAAAAAGTCAATTCATCCTGCGATAGAACCTTAGGTTGTATAAAAAATAGGGCTGGGCGTCGATTAAACATTTTAACCCGATTAATCGCCACCCTTTAATCGATTAATTAATCGATTAATCGGTTGTGTTGATTTTTATAATATATTGAAAAGAATGCAACCACTTGGCTTGCCTTTGAAGACTTATCTTACACTCTGGTGCACGCCGCAGAGGACGTTTGCAATTGATGATACATATAGTTAAACCTAGAGCCACTAAATGAGCTGCGCTTAGAGTATCGGCACTCCGTTCCCCGGCATTGTTGTGGGCGCCGAAATTTAGGCTCGTGCCGATCGTCATAATTCAAAAGTGCGACATCCTCAGCATTAGATTCGGTGTTAGGAAGGTCACGCAAAATTGATTTGCTGTGTCACAAACTGTTTAAACATTTGTGGATGGCAGAAAGGCGTTCCCTGTGATTTCAGATAAAGCTTAAGAGAACTGGCAACCATGATTTTAAGACACAATACGGCCAAATGTCGTTAATTTTAGTTTGGGCAGGACGACCTGCCCAAACTTTTTGTTTCGGCAGGTCGTCCAGGATAGAGCCGTGCGTGCGTTTAATCGACCTCTTTTTGGGTACTGATTAAAAGACCGATTAACCGGCTAACAAAATTGATCGCGATTAAAGCCTTAATCGATTAATCGGAAGGTTAATCGATCAATTGCCCAGCCCTAATAAAAAAGCATCACACCCGTTTTGTTCCATGCTCTGAAGGCGTGGTTTATGCAATTCCCCTCTCATGCGGTAAACAGTATGTCGGGCAAACCTGGATGGGGGGGGGGGGGGGGGGGGGGGGGGGTCTGAATGATCGGTTACGAGAACGTCACTATAACATAAGCAGAGTAATATCCGGGAATCTAGGCGTCCATTGCCAGGATTTCGGGTGTTCAGCGGACCTGATTAAC